CTTACAATAGACGTTATTATTAAGACATGATTTGATTCCATCATCCATCAAATAAAATTGCAGGAAAAAAAACTACATTTACTTTTCGAGGCTTGCAAATTGAAGGAAATATTGTTGGCAAGTAGGTACCTAATACCAATACCTCGTCCGATTTTTTTTCTCTAATGAAATAATGTTCTCTGCAAATGCGATCATAGGGCTTGGGAACCCACGGCGGTAATCCAACAACACTACAAATATATATTTTGCATTATTTCAGCATTGTAATAATTAAACTGTTTGCAAAATAAACATTTTAGCGCTATGTGATAACTTTTATTTTTCTTTTAATCAAAAAATTACAATTATTATATAATAAAATGTAATTAATATATAGATAATAATTATACATAATCAATATACAATACATAAATATATATTTTTCATTATTTCAGTCTTGTATTAATTACATTGTTTGCAAAACAATTTTTTCTAGGAAGCATTAAATTTTGATAATTTAACAATTTATTGACTCATAATTTTTCGTTTTGCTAAACATAACAATTTTACAACTATTCATAGTACTCCGAATTGAATTTTTATAACAATAAGGTTATGATACTTACTTTATTCTTCTAACCGCAGCGATCCACTTTTCCCGTTGATTTTCTCTCCACTTAGCCTTAGTAAATGTATAGAATTTGCAGTCACTTTTTCTGCTTGTATTTCTACAACCAACTATACAACAGCTTTGGTGGCTCATTTTTAATTATCTTATTTAAATTTGAAATAAACGAATGGAAAGGAAACTCAAATTGACTGAAGCGCTCGCAATGGTCATTTTGAGCACTACGGGAGGCTATTATAACCGAAATAGAGAACAAATACGCGTAAAATATTATATTTCAAATTTAAATAAATTAAATAAAAATGAGACATCGATGTTGTTGTGTATAGTAGATTGTAAAAACAACAGTAGGAAAAGCGAATGTAAATTCTAGAAATTTCCTACAGCCAAATGGTAATTAAATCAATGTGAACAGTGGATAGATAGCTGCTGTTAAATCAAAACCCTATTGTAAAATTGTTATGGTTAGCAAAAAAAAATTGGAATTCATTAAATTGTTATATTATCAAAATTTACTGATTAAAAGCAAAGAAAATATTTAGCAAACAGTTTAATATTGGCTAAAATATTGGAAAATACAAATTTATTATATTAAATTAATTATGTATATATTAATTACATATAATTATAGATTAATTTTAATTGAATGATTAAAAGAAAAATAAAAGTTATGACAGAGCAATTTTTTTTATTTTGCAAATAGTTTAATTAATACAATACTGAAATAATTAAAAATATGAAAAAGTATTTGTAGTGACCTTTGCATTGGATGTAAATATCAGAAAAGATGTTGAATCCTAGCTACTTTCCAACAATATTTTCCTCAATTTACAAATCTCGAAAAGTTATTGTAGTGTTTTTCCTTGGTCATTATTTCGGGTTGGAATTTTATTTGATGGATGATGGACTTAAATCATATCTTTATAATAATGTCCAAGACTTTAGTTTGACCAAAAATAATGAAAAAAATTCAGTAAATTAAATTATTATTTACTTATTTCATTGAGAAAGTATTTTTATCATTATTATAAATTTAATATTGACAATATTTTGTAAGAACTATTCCGATATTTTGACATAAGCTAAGCAACTCAACATCATTGTACTTTTCTGAGTTTTAAGTGCATTGAAGAAAATTTAAAATGCCAATAACTATTCAACTTTTACTTTTATGTTGTACCTTGTTTATTATTATTTCTAGCATTTTTTTAATAACCTTTTTCTTTCACAAATATATAAAAACACATGAAAATCGCACACTGATACCCTCCCGTAGTTCTGGCCAGCCTCATTTAGTCTGGCGCTGCACACACGTAGCGAATAAGATAGAAAGGACTATGATATCACTTGCTGAACGAGCGTTGCCGATAATCGTTGACTCTCCCCATTGATTAAATGTCATATGTCATATGTTGTATTTTAATAATATATTGACAATTGTGATGACTGATAATTTTTAAGATAATAATATTTAATAATATTTATCAGAACATTTAATATAATTCAAATATTATCTGTGATAGTTTTATCCCTATAATATAAGGGAAATTGTGTGGACTGATCATTTTGTAAGAATTTTCATATTAATGACACTGCCCCTGCGAAATAAATGAAATGTACATACAATAATAAAATCGTTTATCTGGGCACGCCTGTTTTCGAGTCTACACGAGTGATCTTAGTGTATCTTCAATATTTGAAGGATAATAATAAAATTCATAAGCTATATATATATATTTGTTGAATTCATACAATTGAAACACAACAACTTTTTTTTAAATAAAACAACATATTTGTGACAATACCTATAGGCAATAATAATTTTGGTCCGGCAGACAATCTTCTTTGCCTGATTGTAATACTTATTTATCATTATTGCAAAAACTTAATAGTTTTGTATCACTCTAGATAGCTAAAATGTTATAAAGCCATTTCTCAAAAAAATCTTATTCATAACTTTATATGAATTTACAAAATTCATCTTTGGTAGAACTAACTTAATATCTAATGTACAATGTCTTAGTAAATATATGATTCGTAATCATATTGACATTTATATATCTATTATAAAATATAAAACAACATACAAGCATTATAAAAACACTCCAACACTTTGAAAATCTTAAGTTTTATAATTATAATTTTAGTTAAAAGTGTAATTCTATGAGTTCAATCATAAAATCAGCATTTTCTTATCATTTGAACATGGAGACCGTATAATTCACTAATATTTCTAATTTCATAAATATTGTATTAGTGAATTTGAAGCAATTTGTATTTAAATGCTGTTTATTATTTATCTTTACACAATTGACAATTTACACAAAGTAAATGATAATATGATCAGCTAATAATTAGTTATATTTAAATGAAATTGAGATCAAGTTGATGAATAATTTTAGTTGCTGTAAATAATTAATGAGAAATAAATAAAATATGTTAAATTGAACAGGAAGTATTTAGTGATCACACATCGCAATTGATTTAAAAATTACTTTTGTCGCTTATTATACATTTTAATTAAGTTATATTTTTTGGCAAATGTTTATAAATAATATCCAAAAGGCTAAAATTTACTGCTCAGAGCAAATCCAATCCGCTTTGTTTTCAACACTTCACCCACATAATAAATATATTCTGTGAATTGCTAATTGGAATTTTGTTCCTAATTAATCGATTAGTATTTTTTTTACATTTCTATTACTAGAGGCACAAATTGAATAATTTTTAAACAAGCTCAACATGTTTTTAATTATTTGCATAAGCTATGCTATATATGCAATTATTTGTCAAAGCGTTTTTAACGAAAATTTACATAGTATGCAATTTGATATGATAGCTATACACAATGGGAAGACAAATGATATGAAATTAGAAGTTATATTAAATTCTGATCCATATTTAAAGATCGCAAAGTTCATAAATATTTAGTACAAGTGCGAATTCATAGAACAATTAACTTTCTTTCAAATCAAAAGCAGTTCGATAAGTTTTATAATTATCCCATTTCAAATAATAATCTTAGATAAAAGCATAAGTTTATGAGCTAAGATCATGAAATTAGTATTACGATATCTAAATGAGGCTAAAACTCCGTTTTATTTCCTTCTGCAGTTCTATATTTTTTAAGAAAAATTAGAACCTCAGGACATCCTTCGAGATAAATATTTTTCAAATTCCTAGCATATTGACCTATATTAAAATTAACAAACGTTTTAAGTTTTAGGTAACTATGAGGAATCCCTAATTATTTAAGAAGTTTCACAAAACTCAACTATGTCACAATAAAACCTTTCATGCTAGAACCCCTCAAGGAATAAATTAATAGATTAATTAGAAATATCTGTAACAGCTAA